ACACAATGCTTCATAAACCAAAACACCCTAGAAGTTTGACAAAAACATTGAGCAAGAATCTATATCACCAGGGATACAGAGATTAACGAAACCACTCTAATCAACCATCCATGATAATATGAAAACGCTCAATTAACTGCACTAATACCCTATTAAAATCAGCATAGACCACCTTCTGCACAAGAATAACTCAACAATGCGCACACATGCAAAGCTTCAAACTAGAAAGCCCAATAACACTCCACCCTGGAGAAACCCAGGGTATGAAAGCAAAGAACACAGCATCAACAACAAATTGAACCCATAAATTTGCTAAAACGCTACTCCATTACCATGATCTGGTCTAATGTACCTCGACCAAGTAACACTAACTTTCAATACTTTTCTCCAAAGAACACACTATGCTTTCCATATGAGGAAACCCGTAACAAATCAACACTTATCCATGATACACCAACGCTCTCTCCTAAAACAAGAAAAGAGGGCCACTTAGCAGCTTGTTTGAAAACTCTTTTTAATGTTGTTGGCAAGAAGAGAAACTCGATTGAAACTACATCACACGAATCGCTTGAGATTAGGTAATGATTGTACATACCTTGTTTCAAAGCTGAGATTGAGATGGTCGGAAATTTGTGAATAGAAATTGACGACAACAGCTTGATGCGCCGCGACGTTGATGATTGGTGGTGCAACAGTGGTCACCCGCGGCGTGATGGTGGCGGGTGGTGCACCGATTTGTCAAGTATGCACTGCTAATTCGAGGAAGAAGATTTGGGGATAAAACAAATAAGGGATTCGGGCTGCAGAATTAGGGATATCTAATAAATTAAAGGACAATTACGACGTTTATATTAAAAACGCCACAAAGGAACTATTCTATTACGGCATTTATTACGAAAATGCCACTAAGGGACACACTATTGCGGCGTTTATGTCAAAAACGCCACTAAAGTACAACTTTTTAGGGGCGTTTGTTACCAAACGCCACTAAATTCAAAGTATTTTACGGCGTTTGCTTAAAACACGCCGTTATAAATGACAATATACAACTCTATTGCCACTACAATATTACTATTTAGCGGTGTTTTTGGATACAAACGCCGCAACATGTCAGATCTATAGCGGCGTTTCTGGATACAAACGCCGCTAATTACCTTTTATTTAGATAATATTAGTTGATTTTACATATTTCATTTCTAATGTACATCAACTAAATTGACTGATATATGTATAAACATTATATGGAGAAACATTAGTTGATTTTACATATTAACAACAACCATACATTTTAATTATAACATAAGTTATTCATAAAAATACTTAACAACAAAATATTACAATTTAGAAACATTAAAGTTATGCATAAACAGTCTTCACCATATTGTTCAGTAGAATTTAGTTGTGCTCATTCATGGGGAAAGGACGTAGGAAAGCAATTTTCCTTGTTTGACGACGTATCGTTAAGTTTTTCCTCTGTGTAAACTCTATATGCAGAAACTCTTCATCCATTTCACCAAGAAGAGTCCTTGCGCGCTTCAGTGCTTCACTTGAAACAGATAACGACCTTTCACCTACAGTATGAAACTTGATTGTAGGTGGCTTGCGAACTAAATAAAAATTAAAATAAATTTAAATAGACGATATAAATGTTTACTTGGAGTAACAGTAGAGGCAACTTCATCTTCATTGAGGATAGATACTGCTTTTGCAATTGAAGATTCTTTCAACACCACAGAGTTACCAAATTCAGTTCTAAACATCGGGTATTTATCCACTCCTCTATTATCATTCTCAATAAGCTTCGAAGATCCTATATGCATACAATCTATTAAATTTGACTGAGCGTAGAAAAACAAATTATAGCGGCTGAAAGATGCATAGATTATTACCTTCAAGAAGGTGATTGGCCATGGAAGGGTGTGGAGCAATAGGAGTTCCTTTCGTGTCATCATCCAGTTTCGACGGCGAGACCGGACGATATCCTCCCAACGATAATTTGATCCATCATCAGAGCAAATACGCCACTTAGACATTCCGTCGACGATAATTTCTCTTACTCAAGGCAACACCTGCTCTCTTTTTCTCAAATACGTTAGCTTTTTGGGTTTTCCCCATTTTCAGAATACCAAAAAAATGAAAAAGATCATTAGTGATAAGAGGGATCAAATCGTGCAGTTGTGTTATAGTTCGTCGGTGAGAGGACCGATTTGGTCGCCGGGACATACAAACGATGGCGTTGGTAGAAATCGTTTGAGAGCTATTGTTGTTCCAGAGAAGAAGCTTTGAGGGAAGAAGAGTTTAATTGATTTTAGGGTTTGGGTAGGAGAAAAAGAGGACTATATATTTAACATTTTGCGGCGTTTATACAAAAAAACGCCACTATTGATTACAATATTGTGGCGTTTGTTAAAAAATGCCACTATTGATTAAAACTATTATGGCGTTTATCTAAAAATGCCACTATTGATTAACACTGTTACGGCGTTTGTGGTATAAACGCTACTACTTTACCGATATATTGCGGCGTTTTTTGTAAAAACGCCGCTAAAGTATCAATTTGTGGCGCTACGATTGTAAACGCTGCTATATGTTTAACTTTTGTGGCGTTTTCTCTCCAAACGCCGCTAAAAACGCCACTACATATCAGTTTTGCTGTAGTGATACTATTAAGTAAAAAAAATTGCTGTTAGAAGGATTTGAATCAATGTAAGTTAAATTAAAACCAAGATCTCATATTTTCAAATTTTTAAAATAATTTTAATGAAAATACTGAAAATATGTTTTTATATTTTCATTTAGTTTTGTTTTCATTTTCTAAAAATTATTTTATAATTTTACAAACAAACTTATTTTTTCAATGTTTTTTTAAGAAAATGAAAATAGTCTATATTTCTTAGAACCAAATGGACCCTTAGCTTTTGTGATTGATTTTAAACTACTATTTCTACTATAATTTTTTTTAATTTTTATTTTTACCCGTTTGACGTTAATTTTGAGATAAAAATTAACTTCTTAATCAAAAGTAATTTTCATTACAAAGGGACTCTAAGTGTTTTATAACATTTAGTAAAAAAATGTCGCGTGGCAGATGATAAGAACAATTCAAAAACTTGGATTTCAGCTCTCATTTTATATTTTATACTTTTTTTTAATATTTCAATAGTTATTTATATTTTTTATGTTTTAAATTTAGATAATTTTAAACTTTTTCTTAAATATTTTATGTAAAAAATCACAAAAATATATGTTTTAGAATAATGTAATTCATTCAAATTTAGAATTACGAGAGATTTAAAATATATTTCAATTAATTAACAATAATTTAATAATATAAACCAACATATTAATTTTTTAAATGTACAAAATTTAAATATTAATTTATTAAATGTACAAAATTTAAAATAATTTTTAAAATTAATACATAGATTTATAATAAATTTTAACTTCAAAATATTACTATTTCAAAATTAAAAAATAATTTTTTTTTTGGATAATTCAAAAAAATTTTATTACCCAAGAACAAAACCTGATTACAAAACCTCAGAGTTCAGATTACAAAAGAAGACTACTTACAGAAGAATCAAAATCAAAATATTTCCCAATGTTCAACAAGAGAGATATTAACATTGTCATTCATATTTATAGTCCTATCCCTCAATCGTAACCTCACAGTCTCTTTAATGGCATGGAAAAGGTCTTGGGCAGTTCTGGAACGATTTTGGAACTGACGTTTGTTGCGTTCGTCCCAAAGGGTATAGATAAGAGCAGAGAATGCAAGCTTCATGATGGAAGAAAGCAGGGATTTTCCCTTCTAAGTGGAACATGCCCACATTAAAAGAGCATCCCAAGAGTTAATATTAAAGGTAAGACCAGCATGAGAGAAGACATAATGCCATAGTTGATTAGCCATAGGACATTGGAAAAGCAGGTGTTCCCTTGTTTCAAATAGATTATCACAGAAATTGCATTTACAGTCAGAGATTAGACCCATTCGAAGGAGTTTAACTTTCGTAGGGAGACGATCAAGCAGAGCTATCCAAGTGATCAAGCTATATTTGGGCATGTGGAGAGGAAACCAAATGATTTTCTGCCAAGGGACATGAGGACGTCTTTCTCGTAATAAATCCCAGATCTCCTTCGTTTTGACAGATCCAATAATAAGAAAAGGAAAGGCCTTAGATCGAAGTTTCAAAATGCGCCGAAGACTCCAGCTATAATTAGGCTGAATATCAACGTTCCAGAACTCACTGTCCTTTAAAACATAGAATTTAATCCAAGCGACCCCAAGAGAACCCTCGCCTGCTAAAATGCTTTTGATAAGGTGGATCATACATGCTGTGTTCCAGGTCTTAAGATCTTTGATTCCTAGTCCTCCTTCAGATTTGAGAGAACAAATAGTCTGCCAGCTCACTCTAGCACCAGATGCAGATTTGTCAGTTCCTTTCCAGAAGAAACGAGAGCAAAGTTGCTTGATCTTGTTTAAAACAGAATTCGACAGAAAGATCTGCCTGCACCAGTAATTTGAGATACTAAACAAGGCTGTTTACCGTCATTTAGAGCCACATCAATAAATTTAGGATAAAAATAATTTTTTATTACACAATTAAAATTCAGAAATATCAAAAATGATATTTACTGTCTATTTACTTAATAATTTTAAAAAATGAACATGATCTGAATTTCTTAGGAAAAAAGTCCGGTTCACCGCAACCGGTGGATAACGTTGACCCAACTAAAAAGCCATGCGCTGAAGCAGGGTTCATGAAGTTAGTAATAAGAAGAGGACAATGTCAGAAACGGAGCCTTGTTTATATCTGAAAAAGAGAGAGAAATATGCCTTTGTTTGCTTTGTGGGGCCATCCGATGGAGACCGTACCGATTGGCGTTGCCCTGGGAGGTGACCATGCATCCGTCGTATCGCGGTGGACGTTCAAGATTTCGCAGCTGTACCAGCATGTCCTGGACAAGACGGTCCCTCACATCGTTAGCTGTTGGATCGGATGTCTGGCATTGATGGTGATCTACGCTTTACGCATGTATTTTCTGCATGGCTTATTCATCACGTGCGGCCTCGGCATTTACTTGTTGAGTCTGCTGATGGGATTCATTTCCCCTCAGGTGGATCCCGAGACGCAGGACGGCCATTCCCTCCCTACCAGCGGATCCGATGAGTGTCGGTTTCGCCCTTTCCTTCGCCCACTCCCCAATTTCAAATTCTGGTTCTCCATTTCCCGGACGTGTTTGACGGACCACCGTGACTTATCCAGAGCCACTGCAGTGGGGTACTTGTTTCTTCTGTTGCTCACCTCTTCCTTCATCAACGTTTCCTCTTCTTGTTCTTGGGGAGCTTGCCAGGTGTCTTTCTTCTTCTTTTTTTCTTTTCACATTCTCTCCTATTTTCCTTCTTCCAATGAAAATGTTTGATGATTTTGCAGATTTATGATTCATGTACCAAGGCTTCAGATTGTGGTCCAGGTCTTTATTGTGAGAACTGCCCTATTTTGGGCAAGATTTATCCTTTTTGTATCAGAAACAAAGCTACCATTCCCACTTCTATTGTAAGTTTCTGTTTTTTTTTTCTCGTGGCTTTTGGCTAACATGATGCAGATTTGTTTCCTTTTTGGTAAGGGAACTCTTTTCTTCCTTTTCTGCGAGTTATTTTGTGATTGGTTTTGTAATCCTATGCGTGTATATGCTTTCATCTGGTGATTTCAGCAATTAATGACGGAAATTCATTCCTTTTTTGGTGTGAATTGTGGTGTGGCAGATTAATGGATTACCTTTCAACAGATATTCGTGGTTGTTAACTCACAACTCGTTCAGCATGCTGGCTGCTCCAACTTTACCAGGTGTTCAAAGAGTGACAATTTACAATCAAGAAGACTCTGTTACTAATCAACTGGTGGTCTGTATTCCTCGTCTTTCATCACCTTCTTAATCTTTTAAAAACTATAAGAGAATGAATAGTTGGAAAAACTAAAATAAATTTCTTCATGTTTCAACTAATTTGCTTTACGTTTTGTTCATTGTTTAGAATGGAGTTAGGGGGCTGATGTTGGACATGTACGATTTCAAGGGCGATATTTGGCTCTGCCATTCATCCGGAGGGCTATGTTTCACTCACACTGCCTTCGTAATATAACATTTCCATCTTAATAAATCATCAATAATGACAATATATATGTTCTAATTTGCATTATTCACATTGGTATTTCATTTCAGCAACCTGCAAGTAACACATTGAGGGAAGTGGAAGGATTCTTGAGTCGAAATCCAACACAGATTGTAACCCTTATAATTCAGGACTACGTGCGTGCACCCAAAGGCTTAACTAAGCTTTTTGCAACCACCCGTTTGACCAAGTATTTGTTCCCATTGTCCAAGATGCCCAAAAATGGTGGGGATTGGCCTACCGTGAAAGAAATGCTGCAAGCAAATCACAGGTGTTTGGTCTTCTCTTCAGCTCAATGGAAGGAAGCGGATGAAGGAATTGCTTATCAGTGGAATTACTTTTTGGAAAACGAAGGTACATAACTTTGTTTATGCATATTATCCACGGGGTACGAGTTTCGACTACTTGATCCGTATAAACTTAGACTCGAAACCCTAATCCCGTGACTGTATATACAAGCTATGTATGTAGTAATGGGTTGATGGTGTTTTTTGGGGGTTTCAGCTGGAGACAGTGGGGTACAGCCAGGCAAATGCCATAACAGAAAAGAATCACAGCCGCTTTCTTCAAAAAAGGCTTCACTTTTCCTAATGAATTACTTCGCCACTTTACCAGCTGAAGATGTAGTTTGCAAAGAGCATTCAAAACCACTAACTGACATGGTCCAAACCTGCTATAGAGCAGCTGGGAATAAGATGCCCAACTTCTTGGCAGTCGACTTTTATCTGGTATTCATCTGTTTTGAAATATGCAAAGTTAGTACTAACCCACTAAACACGGGATAAATCATGCAGCGGAGTGATGGAGCTGGTGTTTTTGGCGATCTGGATACCATGAATGGCCGAACATTATGCGGATGTAGTACTATTAAAGCCTGTCAGGTTTGTTTAAGTAATTTCAGAGCTTATTTTGCCATTCACTCATACCTTTTTTCCAATGCCTTTTTTGGTTCCAAATTTTCACCAACTTTTAAAGATGAAGTTTGTTGAGATATCTGTGTTTTGTTCATATGCAGCCTGGGAAACCATTTGGAACTTGCAGGAATGTTTCATCGCGTGGTTGATAAAACCCCTACCCGGACATTCGTCGACCAGGCGCTGCTATTCTCTATTAATTGAATAACTCTCCATTCGATTAAACTTAGATCCGAATTTATACATCCTCAATGTAATATCTTTGTCTTCTCGAATCGGTATTTCTTTAAAATCTGATCATCGATTTTTTTCTCTTAATCCAACAATCGGATTTTTCATAAATAATTATTATATTATTTTAGTTACTCAAAATTTGTACCATTCATTTCAGCCTTTCAAATTGATCCATCATCATTTTGTAATTTCGAATTGATAATCGAATGGTAAACTAGAAAATAGAGGATTAAATTTAAAAGTATGGAAAAGAAAGGGTTTGCATGACAATTAAACATTTTGTAAATGACAGTGGGAATTAGTGTCATTTAACAAGAATGGTAAATATATGTTTCATATATGTCTTTTTATGAATTAGTCATTAGTGTAATCTATATATATAACATAATGAAACACCCCTCAACCCACTGAATTTCATTGTTCGTCGTCATCTCTATTTCTATTTCTTTCCCAAAATCTAATGGTTTAATGTTTGGTGTGTTGCATAGCGAAACTTCAAATTTATCAAAAGTTCTTAATGCACGCTGAAGATACTATTTTTTATCCATTTTATTATTATTATTATTAATATTTATTATTATCATTATTAATATTATTATTATTATTATTATTATTATTATTAGTATTATTATTATTATTAGCATTATTATTATTATTATTATTATTATTATTATTATTAGTATTTATTATTATTATTAATATTATATATTATTATTATTATTATTATTTAATAAATAATTACAACTGGACCGGCCCAGTTACAAACCAACCGGAACCGGTCCAGACAACCAGAAACCCTAAACAATTAGTAAGGTTTCAGCTAGGGTTTCTAAACCCTAGCCACACCCAGCCGCCTCTGATGCTTCCAGAATCCCAGCCGCCGCCTCACTGCCAAGTGGTCCAATGGCCCACTGCCGACGCCTCCGCCGCTGCCACGTCCCGAATGAAGGCTCCAGAAGATCAACGCCGGCCGTCCACGCCAAGGCTACGGGGTGAGTCACCACTGGTAGACCGGTGACTCACCGAAGCCCTCTCTTCGGACCGGTCCGATGACCGCACCGGTGGTGGCTATAAAAGCCACCACCCACCTGCGAGACAAAAAGAGAGACAGAACGAGACACAGAAACAAAAAAAAGAAGAAGAGGAGACAGAAAGAAGAGACAGAGACTGAACCAAAAAGAAAAAAAAAAAGAAAGAGATATAAAACTACCAACGATCCCAACAGAGCAAATACAAAAAGAAGAAGAGAGGGGAGAAACTTACCAAGGAAGCCTTGACCGTCGCCGGAAACACTGAACATCGCCGGAGAACCAAAAATACCGAAGGTATATTTACAGATCTGCTCCGATTGGGAGCCATTTAAGGAAAAAGAACATCGGAACCGTCCTTAGGACGGTCCGATCTATTTATTAGTATAAGAATAATTTTTTTCGGCCACCGGATGCGGTGGCCGGCGGTGATGAACACGGCGGCACACGGTGGCCGACCGGTGACCGGCTTCCCTCCGGTGAGGGAAGCTAGAGAGAAGGCAGAGAGTTTAAAACTCTCTCGGTTTAGAGAGAGAGAAGGAAATGAGGAATGAAATGGTTGGCCCTTCGGGCCAGCCGATTTGGACATTTATAGTCCTTCCCGAACGACGTCGTTTCGGGAAGGACTATGCGCGTAATTACAAAATAATTAAATCCCTTCCGCAGTCCTTCATATTTGTAAACTTTACATTTTGGTCACTAAACTGAATTTATAAGAATTTTAATTCAGTCTTTGAATTTTAAATTTATTCATTTTAGTCCTTTTTATTAAAATAATATATTTAGGATAAATGACAGATTTAATTCCTTAATTTTAATAAATATATTTTTTTAGTCCCTAGTTCATACTTTTAATTTATTTTATTATAAAATTTGAATTTTAGATAAGTTTATTTTGGTCATTAAATTATTAAATAAAAAAAAAATATATTTAAACCCTATAATTTCAATTAATTAATAATTAGTAATTAGTTTTATTTTTATAATTTAGTTATTAATTTTATATGTCTTTATTTATTTTATTGTTTTTAAATATATTGTTTAATAGAATTATTATTTTATTATATTTTGATATATATTCATAAATATATATAATAAATATTAACTTTTAAATATTTATTTTTAATATCGAAGAAAAGGACAGTCTTAATACAACTGGATGTCCTATTCTGATATTTTAAAATCAAACAATATTATTTAAATTAATATTTATCAATATCAAAGAAAAGAGCTGTCTTAAGGCACCTAGAAGTTCTTTTCGGATATTTTTAAATAAATATTTTTTTACAATTTTGAAATTATAAGATTATAAATTAAATATATTTTTGAATTTTTAAATTTTTAATAGAGACAATTTATAATTAAAAAGTACCAATTTTGGGCGTTGTAGGGGTGCTAATCCTTCCCTAAACGTAACCGACCACGAACCCCTTTTTATTATTAAAAAGAACAAATTTTTGGTTATAAAACGCAGATCAGTTCATCTTTTAAATATGGTTTTCTTAAAAACTATTTTAAAAGAAAATTTTTAGGTATTCGACCTACCTGATCCAAAAGGTCGATGGCGACTCTCAAATTATTTTCAAAATTATTTATTCACATCAATTTCCCTGCCAAAATAAATATTTCGTGCCCGGACGAAAACCGGTTACGACAGCTTGGCGACTCCACTGGGGATTGGTCAAACTTTTAAAAATTAATTATAAATTGTCTCTATTAATTAAAAATTCATATATTTAATTTTTAATTCTTTCTTTTCAAATTTTTTATTTATTTATTATTTTTATAATATTTATATGTTTTTATTTGCAAGTATTTTATTTCAGTATTTATTTTTATGTCAAAAGTTTAACATTTCTCCTCACACACACAACACTTGCATTGCATAACATAAAGCTCTATAATTGAGTTGTCCCTTTTAAGTGAAAGTGAAAGCAACGTCTTCGTGAGAATTTATTCTCCGTGTCAGACCTAGCAAGTAACTTTCGGGGTTCATATGCTCTCTGTCTTCGTGAGAATTTATTCTCCGTGTCAGGCATAGAGAAATGTATCCCCTCGAATTGAACTCGATCCACTTTAGTCTGTAATGGACTAGGATTGAGGGTTAGCAACCCAAGGGGGCACTAACAAGGACAATTCGGGTACCTTTACTCCTAGTTCTGAAACCCTGCATATAAAAAACCTTAGAAACTCTTCCAATCAGAAGTCATGCCGAAATTTTGTCCAAAATAGGTGTACACACAGAGAAATGAATTATGTCTTTCCTGTTAATTTATTTTACATGTTTATTTAAATTATTTAGAAAAGCATGTTTAAATTAAATAAATGTTATTATCCTTTAAACTAACTTATTTTCTTTTTGTGTGTTCTTTATTTTTCTGTTTGCATAGCATCATACAGGATAAAAGACATTGATCCTTGTGTTAATAGTCTCATTGGAAAACCTTCATCCATGGATAAAAAGGGTTCAAGTCAAGTAATTCTAAACTCAGAAGTAAGACAGTGGGCTGAAGATTTACAAAGACAAGAAGGAGATAGTCTGCAGGATGATTATGTATCTGACTTGGCCAGTTATGCTTCAGTTTCACTAAAAAGAAATGATCTGCAAGATTTGCGAGGTATTTGGGAAAGTTGGGATTCAAACAAAAAATTGCAGTTTTATCAGACTTACGGAGACATCCCATATTTGCTCTATGTTGAAGTTGATGATGAATTAATCAGAGCCCTAGTTCAATTCTGGAATCCAGGGTACAATTGCTTCACTTTCAATAAGGAGAACTTGGTCCCTACTATTGAAGAATATGAAACTTTGTTACATCTTGAAGGTGCTTTGGAGAGTCGAATATATTCAAAATCAATTAAAACTCAGCCCTTTCGAGTTAAATTAGCAAAGATTGCTGGGGTACGAGAAGAATGGGTAGCATCCCGTACAAAACAAAAAGGCGAAAGCGAAGGCATTGCTTGGACCAACATCAGAGAGCTTATTCAGAGTCATCCAGACGCTAAAGTACGATTCGATCTATTTGCTCTGTGTATATATGGTATGGTCATCTTCCCAAGAGCATTGGGATATGTTGAAGCTGCAGTGGTAGACTTGTTTGAACAACTACCGAAGAAGATTAATCCTGTTTCTGCCATCCTAGCAGAGACCTTCAGATCATTAAATGCTTGCAGAAGGTTAGGAGGTGGACGATTCTCAGGGTGTACTCAATTATTATATGTTTGGATCCGTAGTCATTTTTGGAGAACAGAAAAGGTTTCATACCGACGCTTCAATACGGGTTATTCACCATTAAAGGAATTTCTGGAGCAGGAATGGCCGAAAGAAATTAAGAAAGATATGTGGATTAATGCCTTTCGAAATCTGCAAAGCAATGACATTGTTTGGCGAGCCCCGTGGCAAATACAAAGGGAATTCTTTTACAGGTGTGGTGATTACAACTGGGTAATGCTGCTCGGATTATGGGGAGGAATTGGATATGCACCACTGCTGGTTATAAGACAGTATGAAGGTCGTCAATTTGTACCTGTCACTGTTGGATTACAGTCATCTGAGTTCGCATTCTACAGCAAAAATTATAAAAGAAACATCATGGAAGCCGTTACAGCTTGGAAAACAACTTTTTGTATTCGAGCTAAAGCAGCAAAGGAAATGCTAACTCCTGATTATGAAGAATGGAGATCTGTCAGAAAAAACGAAAATATTCCTCTACCAGATCAAAATGAGGATATTTCTATGGATGATCGCATCAAGGTGATTCCATCAGAGATTGAAATCCTGAGAGCTGAGTTTGAAGCAGAAAGAGAAGGTTGGTCGAAAGAGTTAGATCAAATGAGACAAGATAAAGCTATGTTGGGGGTTGACATTGACTTTCATTCATCACAAT